ATTTATTCAAATGTTCTGACGAGTTACTGTATACCAGCTACTGTTCTAGGTACAGAATAGTACAGCTGAAGTGTAACAAAACCCTTCCCCGAGGCGCTTATTCCAGTTGGAGACAGACATTTAGGGATACAGCACCAGGTCGTATAAACAGGTATTGAAGTTATAACAGAGAAATGTAAATAAGGTTAACACTACCAGGAAACATCCACACAAAGAGAAAAGTGAATTGGACAGGATTCCTTCCCAGTTTAAACAGATGGCTATGTTTGGTAAAATTCAGGTAAACACAAGAACACTGTATCAAGTCCCCTACATCCCCATAAGGAAATACTTAAAGGACTGTTAGGACTTTTAAAAATTTTTACAGGACTTCTCATTATTACGACGACGACGACTATTATTGTTGTTGTTGTTGCTGCTGCTGTTTTCTCTGTAGTTCTGGAACTTACTCTGTAGACCAGGCTGGCCTTGAACTCAGAGATCCACCTGCCTCTGCCTCCCTTGAGTGCTGGGATTAAAGGTGTGTGCCTCCACTGCCCGGTTCTCTATTAAATTAATTTTTAACCTCTCAGTTCACAGTTGATTTGGGAGCTCAGGGGTCCTGCCTCACTGTCCTTGCTTTAAAAACAGCCAAACCGCTGTGGCCACCAAAGTGTAATCAATCACAAGAATATTCAGTGAGAGCAGCCTCAATGTTTCTGTGAAGCTAGACTATCACCTAGTTTTAAAACAAAATTAAACCAATTTATTTACATGATTTATGTGTATGGATGTTTTATCTGTCTGTGTGTGCACCATATGTGCCTGATACTCTGGGAGCTCACAGGAAGGTATCGATCCCCTGGAACTGGAATTAGGGACATGAGATGCCAGATGGCTGTGGGAACAGAAATGAGGTCATTTCCAAGGGCAAGTGCTTTAAACCACTGAGCCACCTCCCTAGCCCCATTGCCTGTGTTGTAACAGGAGCATTGTAGGGGCTGGGTGTGGTGGTGTGTATATCTTTAATCCTAGCACTTGGGAGGCAGAGGCAGGTGGATCTCTCTGAGTTTGAGGCCAGTTAAGTATACACAGAAAGATCCAGGACAGCCAGAACTACACAGAGACTGTCTCAAAAACAACAAAACAATAACAATAGCAACAAGCACAACAACAATAGAATAAAGGGAGCAGCATTGTGGAACTGATTGAACAGAATACTAGCAACCAAAATGCTTTGGTGTGGTACCAATGCTGCATCGCAAGGGCCCTCACAGGTGAACTGACAGTAAGAATGAGTAGGGATATTACTACTGGGGTTGACAGAATCCTGCTTCCTTCCCTTGGAAAAGGTCCATGTTTTAATTCTGAGAAAGTAAGCATGTTAAGTTATATGATAAAGAGAAAACAAGGAGGCAAACAGAATTAAGGCCAAACTTCGGACAACCTTGAGAGGTGGGCCCAGTCATTCATAAAAGACCTTACAAGAGGAAGGAGGAGGCAGAAGGCCAACAGCCCAGTGCTGGCAGCATCCAAAGATCTCAGCCCTGAGCTGTTGGCTGTAAAGACACAGGGACTGAGCCTGAAGCCAAGGAATGTGGGCAGCTTCCAACTCGGAATGATGCAGATCTTCCATCAGATCAGAGTCTCCAGAGGGAACACAGCCAGGTGGACACGTTTTAAATTTCTGAACTCCAGGGATGTTTGAGAATAAACATTTTGTGACTTTCTATCTAGAACAGTGTGGTAACTGGGAGGAGCAGAAAGCAGGCACGGCACTCTGAGATGCATGGGGAATAAAGGGCTGTACATGCGTCGCTCTAAGGAGCACACACAACACCTCATACTTGGTTTCTCAGAGCCTTGCTGTTAGGTAAGTGGGTGACTGGGAGGTCTACCGTCTTCTTAAATTCCCTCTCTCCTGGGTCAGTGCCTGTTCAGTTTTGATTTTAGCACTCAGTGTATTTTCAAAGTAGACTTGATTACAAAACGATCAATGATTAAACCTGACCCAAAAGAAAGCAAAACTGATGCATAGCGAAAGTGGACTAATCTTTTTTGTTAATTACTAGATCAACATCTAAATAACCATTTCTTCTTTTTTTAAGCATTCATTTACACATAGAGGTGATTTATTTATACTTAATACTTTTATATTCTTATTGCTGTCCATTTAGGTTGCTTGCGTATCTGTTTGCCTGTGTGTATATATGATCTGTCTGTCTGTCTGTCTGTCTGTCTGTCTGTCTGTCTATCTATCTATCTATCTATCTGGGACAGGCTGTCTTCTGTCTGTCTATCTACCATCTGTCTATCTATCTCTGTGTGTCTATCTATCATCTATCTATCTACCTACCTATCTATCTATCTATCTATCTATCATCTATCTATCTATATATCTTTCGTCTGTCTATCTACCTACTCCCCTGTCTACCTGTCAATCTATTGATCTGGACAGGGCATCAATCTGTCTACCTACCTATCTATCTTCCATTTGGGACAGTATCTCTTTATTCTGTAGTTCAGGCTAACCTCAAGTCCTCAGTGATCCTCCTGCCTCATCCTCCCAAGTGCTAAGACTGCAAGCATGTCTACACTTGGCCCTGGAATGCTTTAGAGGTGACATGAGTGCCCAGCTGAAAGGTCTACCGTCCGGCTCTTAACTGCACAGTCACTAGAGTAAGAAAAAGAGCCCGCTGAATAGACACTGCAAATGGGGCTTTGCACTTATTAAAGTCTGGCCGGCAGGACACTCCATGGCTCGTATTCTCATGTCATTTTAGAGATTGTGGGTCATGCATATCTTTTTACCACTGGAAAGAGAATTCCAAGTAAAGAATCTCACAGTAGAGCAGTGTTGTCTAGGGAACTGTGCAAGGCTGTGGTATGCTTGGCTAAAAGCATTAAGTTGACGTTATTTCACGAAAAGCACTAAGTTGGTAGCATTTCATGTCCATGGAAACAAATAACAACTCTGGTGGTGTATTTCCCATGTCTCTGATGGCCTCAACATCTTTGTTTTACTAGTGGCTCGATTTCATTTTATTTTTACAAAAGTAATGGTGAATGATTCCCAGGAGAAACAAAGCAAAATCGCTCTACCCTTGGCACCACAGACACACAAAACAAACACAACCAAACAGGGCCTTCACCGCAGGCAGCTTGAGAGGCGATGTAAATGGAAAGCAAGTGTTGTTTTAAAAACTAACATACGCCAGCACTATAACACAGTACTTGAAATATTTATTACAGCATATATTGAAATATGTCCCTTCAAGCCACGTATAAAATGAATTTAAATTAGTATGACTTAATATGCTTCCATGTCTTAAGACTACTTTCCCAATCCTAGATCCAAGAGATCTGTATCATAAAAGGATTTAAAAAGTCCAGAGTGCACCCAAGTAACTTCTCCACCTCTCATAAATGTATTTCACCATTATAACTGGGATGTGTGGGTCTATGCATACATACACTTCATTACAAAAATCGGCCTTATATGAAAGAGAAAAATGACTATAAAAGTTCAATAGGTTAATTGCCAAAGTTCCAGCCAGTGCTCTATGCAAACTTAAATACCTGGAAACAGACTCTCAAGAAGAATCAAGATTGGATTTCTATCTTTGTGATCGCTTGAAGAGTAGATGACAGGCCTGCCAACCAAGGTCCCTTACAAAGAACCACAGTTAAACACCTCCAAGAGCCCAAAACAGGCACTTAAGCAGATGCTCATCCGGGCGTGTTTGTGCCAGCATTATTCATAACAGCCAAAAGACAGAAGCAGAACAATCGAAAAGTCTGTCAGCGCACGAGCAGATAAACAGCCCATTGTTTGGGTTACCAGTACAATGGAGCATTGTTCCGGCCATCAAGAGGAACGAAGCACTGAAACATGTGAAAACACGGACGAACCTGAAACACATTAGGGCAGGCAAAAGAAGCCAAACACAAAAGGTCACTTATGGCAGGATTCTGTTTATGGGACTGTCTCCAGCAGGAAGGCGTGGGGGAGGAGCACCGGCCTAATGAGCCTGGTTTCTCTTCAGACGGAGAGAGCTGGCAGGAGATGGATGGTGTCTGCTGTCTGCACAGCACTATGCAAGTACTAAATGCAACTGGATGGCCTGGATGGCTCATTGGGAAATGGACGTTCTGGCTCCTGAGTGTCACCCCATTTATTACTGGTGTGAGTCATCTCAGTACTGTCTGTTAGTTTCTTTTCCTTAACTGCCCAGAGTACACTATTGTTATTCTCTGGAAATGTGCTCCAGCGAAATAGGAAGCTACGCCAGGGCTCACAGGTAAGAGAGTGCTAGCTGGCAACTTGGAGGACATGAGTTCAGAGCCCCCAGACAACACAAGATGCTGGGCACTATGGTACATGCTTGTAACCCTGGGATGGGGGAGACTGGGAGGGATGGAGATCCTGGGCTCTTTGGCTCCCTAGCCTGATTGAACCAGTTAGCTTCAAGTTCCCAGAGACATCCTGTCCCTAAAATAAAAAGGGAATACATTCTACATACCTCTGGCCTCCATATACGCAGGCACTAAGGTGTGCCCCCATGCATTCACGTGAACACACACACACACACACACACACACGCAAAAAAAGCCACAACAAAAACCAAAACGTTGTAAAGTTTGCTTCGAGCCTGCCATTGTTTTCAATCAAAAGCGAGAAGAGGCCCAGAAAGAGGAGGTTTTGTGCAGTAAAATCACAAGAGAAAACGACAGCCTGTCCTCAAAAGCTGCAAACAAACAAGCAGGCACACAGACCTTGGTCCACGGTGACTCACTGTCAGGTGCAGCCCATCACTGCTTCACGTGCCAGCGCTCAGCCAAGGCTATCTGAGGCTCTAGTGTCAGCTGTTTCCAAAGTTAGCTTTTAAACATGATTATTTTCATAACACTCCTATCACCTTTTGGCCCCAAACATCCATCCAGCTCTCTAAAACGGCAGCAGTTCCCCAAGGTTTGTGTACTGCTGCCATGCTAAAGGAGAATCACGGAAATCTACTTACATATTCCTTGACATTTTTCGTCTTCACAGCTTTGTAGGAGTAGTACGCCGGATAGAGCATTCCAAACACCAGCCTGGAAGGAAAGGGGTGGATTAATTCAACACGGAAGGCTTCTAACAGCTCTAGACTTAACTCAGGAAACACGTGATGATGGTGAATTAATGTGTCTATAAGTAGTGATATTTAATTTACATTTTAATAAATAAAGCTTGCCTGAAGATCAGAATGCAAAACAGCCACACTAGTTAGCCATAGAGGCCGGGCGGTGGTGGTGCATGCCTTTAATTCCAGCCCTAGAGAAGATTATAAGGTGGGATGAGACAGGAATTCACCCTCGTTTCAGTCTGAAGATTTGATAGAGGTAAGAGCTCTCTAGTGGTTGGCTGCTTTGCTTTTCTGATCTTCAGGTCGAATCCCATTATCTGTCTCTGTTTTTATTAGTTGTGCTACACTATAAAGTCATACAGAAACCAAACCTACTCTGAGAAACAAATTCCAAACATATTCTTACATAAAAAAGAGCATATTAGTACTTTAGATAGCAGCTTTATGGCAATGAAGCTTTTGTCTTTTGAAAAACACAGCCAGCCAACCAATCAACCAGATAAACAGAACAAAAAACAAAAAACTCCAAACTTTTAAGGTATCCTTTTTTCATTACCAAACAAGGTTTCATTTTTCTTTTCCTGAAGACTACAAAATAAAAAATAATAGGAAATCAAAAATAAACATTGTCCCAACCCTACCAGTTGTAGACAACCCCAAATAAAATTAAAAAATTACTATACAAAGATCCTATTCTTTCATTAGATAGCAAACTCAACACACAGACACAGACACACACACAAATATATTGTGGTTAAAAAAAACCCTCAAAGTTTCACTCTCCAAATTACCATCCTGAGCAGCTGACTTCTACACATGACACGGCTGTGAAGTGGTACTCAATATTGCTATGATATACATTACAATAACTCTGAGTATGGGGAGATGGGTGGACCTGGGAGGAACCAAGAGGTAGAAGTGTGTGTGAGGGTGACAGGATCAAAATACATTATATACATGTATAGGAACTTCTCAAATACATATTAAATACAACTCTAAGCATTTATAAAATTACTTTAAATCACCAATAGGACTCGAATGTATATTCATTCATTCACTGTTTTTCAAGACAGGGTTTCTCTGCATAACAGTTCTGGATGTTCTGGAACTCACTCTATAGACCAGGCTGGCCTTGAACTCACAGAGAGCCCCCTGCCTCTGCCTCCCGAGTGCTGGGATTAAACGCACGCGTCACTACCACCTGGCTTTGGATACATTTATTAATACCAGCAACCATATAAAGGATAGGAAGACACGTCACAACAGAACAGGGCTTACAGTTAATTTTTGTGTTTTAGATGGAACGTATGTCCTCAAATGTCACTCGGCAGTACTATCCCCAAGGTCGCAGATTCCCACAATATTTATACACTTTGGTTTCTCTCTGAGCATTCCTATTGCAGATAATAACACTGTGGGAAACAGTTCTCTGAAATTACCCTTCCAGAAGTAGCTTTCACCTACTTCAGCATCCCTCCAGAGAGATCGCTTCATTTTATGTTCCTACATATTCAAGTCATGCTTGATTAAAAATAGGCCATAAAAATAAGAAAATAATAGTAATAGTAAATCTGATTTTTTTTTCAAGTGTTTACTAGCATTTTTTTTTTTCTTTACCCGAGATAGGGTTGTTCTGTGTAGCCCTGGCTGTCCTGGAACTAGCTCTGTGGGTCAGACTGGCCTTGAATTCAGAGATCCCACCAGTGTGTCACCATTGCCTCAAGTTATCTCTATTGTTTTAAACGGTTGTTTTATCTTAGTTTGTAAGTTTTTCAGAAAGTGTATAGATAATTCCTATATATCCCACGCACAGTTCCCCATCATTGTCTTACACCGGGAACATATACCTCAGCCCAGGCTTCCTTTGGATGCCCTCTGTTCTAGGCACCCAGCCGTACAACATAGGGTACTCACATGTCCTTACAGTTTTCTTTGGCCTGTACATTTCCTACTTTCCTTGATCTTAAGGTCACTGTGACAGTTCTGAGTATTGGTTAAGTATTCGTAGGATATTCCTCTCTTCAAGTTTGATGTTTTTTTTTTTTTTATGATTAGCCAGAGATATGGGTTTTGTGGAAGAGACTACAGAGGCCAGGTACCATTGTTATCATATTATATCAAGGGTGCATAATATCAACAGAAATCATTAGTGTGTATGTTAACCTTGATCAGTAGGCAATGGCACACGTCTTTAATCCCAGTAGCTGCACTAGCTTGCCATAGAAACCAGGCGGTAGTGGTACACGCCCTTAATCCCAGACCTAGAGAGGATTTTAAAAGAGGAGGAGACAGCTCACAAACTCAGTCTCATTCCAAGACTCCTGGAGGCAGGATCACCATTTCAGACTGAGGTAGAGGTAAGAGCCGGTGGCTGGCTGTTTTGTTTTTCATGACCTTTAGGTTGAACCCCAATTTCTGTCTCTGAGTTTTTAATTAATCGTGCTTCAGTAACACAGAGAAACCCTGTCTTAAAAAACAAACAAACAGATGGAGGTCTTGCTATGTGGCCCAGGCTGGTACACAGCAAGCAACTGAGCTTGCAGTCTTGAGCCTCTGCCTCTGCCTCCCAAGGGCTGGCATTAGACAAGTGCTATCACGCCTGGCTCAGACAGACGGCTCCTGTTCTTTATTCTTAAAGACTTGTTTTATATTTAAGCATGTGCGTGTGTGTGTGTGTAGGTGTATAGGAGTGAAGGTGTCCACTCAAGTCAGGAAAAGACACCGGGCACTGGGCACTTTAGAGCTGGACTAACAGAAATTGTGAGCTACCTGACAGGGGTGCTGGGAATTTGGGCCCTCTGCTAGAGCACAACATGGCTCTACTATTGAGCCCTCTCTCCAGCCTGCCTTTCTTTTTCTCTTGTGATGCTGTGGATTGAACCCAACCCGAGGCCTTTTGCAAGTGTCCCATTATTGAGCTATAGTCCTGGTGGCTAGATCTTTCTTTCACTGAGTAAATATTTACACCTCTATTTTTAGCTCCCTCGCAGCTTTTATATGTATTTATTTTGAGCCGGGTGCTTTCCTGGTGGTTTCCTTAGGCCTTGGTTTGTGGCTTTATGTCCCCAGGTCGGAAGAGAAATGGCAAGTTCTCTCCTGTTGGGGACTTTTTTCTTCAGCAACTGGAAGCCACACCCCTGAGAATTTCTGCCTCACCCAGCAACAGAACCCCGTGATTGTCACCTACCAGTCGTACAGACCTCGTCTGTGGTTCTGGGACTTTTAGCTGTGCCGGAGTCCAGGGCTTTTAGTTTAGCAACAAACCTACAAAGTGGACCCAAGTATAAAACAGCTCAATTCCCAGGGGGCCACGTGCGGATCCTCACTGTTCCCACGAGGCACACACCTGCAAATTACCAGCACAGCTGTCTTTTCCACAGCACATAGACACGTTTAACCCATGTTGTATTTCTCTTCAGATAGTGCACACCATCACGGTGTTATCTTTCTCATTGCCACATAATTCAGTCTCACCAAACTGGAGCTTAAGGCGGCAGTCTTGGTGCCTCTCTATGGGTCTGTCACCTCCTGCCCCTAGACCTTACGTACACTGTGTTCCCGGGCCTGTGGGCTCTTCCCTGGTGAGAGCAGATGCACCTACTTTTCCGGCTGTGTTTTCAAGCTCATACTCAGAGCCAGAAAAGATAGCTTAGTAAGTAAAGGCACTTGTCGCCAAGCCTGAATTCAATCCCTGAACCTACAGTACAAAGAAAGACATGACTTCAACAAGTGTTCTCTTACCTCCACACTCTCACTGTGACTGACACACACACACACACACACACACACACAGACACACACACACAGACAGACACGGATACACATACAGACACACACACAGACATACCACCACCACCACCACCACCAATCTCATGGCCAGGGTTCATGCCACCCAGCTGACATTCGGACCAATCCCAGTACACTCCTGTGCTGGCAGGTTAGTTTCTGATGGACCTGCTGCGCCACTGTGCTCCAGGATGTCATTAGCTGGCTGCCCCAATCCCTTGCTGATCAGCCTCTGTGGGGACTCTTCAAAATATAATTTGGAAATCACTGCCTCGTACAAACCATCTGTTCCACTGTGGACCCTCACTATGCCTCCTAAGCTTCTATGGGTCCTGAGCATAGCTTCCTGCCTGGGGTTCATCCTTCTCTACTTTGTCTTCCCAGCCTTCCTTCTCTTTCTGTCTTGTTCTTGCTTAATTACGTCACGCAATTCCCCCCCCCAAGCTCTCGTCTTCTTATACGGAACATCTGAATCACGGTCATTCTGAATTTTACAGAAATCTTAGTCTGCCTTAGTCATCCTGTATTTGGTATGATAATTTTAGATGGCTTAATGCATTATTTAGTATATAATTGGTTTCCAAAACAGATACTTTTCTCAAATATAGTAAAGTTTGGTGCTAGTTGATTCTTCGAATACAGGTGCTGTGCCCTTATTTAATTTTGTTTGTTTGAGACAGAGTCTCCTTATTTAAACCAGGTTGTCCTTTAAGCCAGATATCCTCTTCTCTGTGAGTGCTGGGATTAAAGGAAACTGATTTGTCCTTAATTTTTAAATCTCTACATTGAACAGAGAAAAAAAAATCAAACAAGTAGATGATCCCTAACGCTTTTCTCCTCATTGCTTCTCATTTGCAACTTGGGAAAAAAGAGGAAGTATCTTTTTATAAGTAGTGGGGTGGGCTTTAGGGACTGAGTCTTTATTAACCTGGCAAGTTATTACCGTCCTATGTGAACATTGCTGGGTAACTAACCTATTAGTCACATTAGCCATGCTTTCTAGGGGCTGATTTTGAGGGAGGTGTTGCCCTTCAGTGGGGTCTACTGTGAATGTTTGTAACCGGGAGGTCGGGCATGGAGCCAAGAAGGGCAGTTATAAAACGAAACAGTGTTTTAGGAGGCCACCTACAAGATCCACTTAAGCTTTAAAAAGGGAATATTTAACTCCAGATAAAATCCAAC